GCCAGCCGGGGCTGCTGACCTGGGACGGTCGCTGCAGGGAGAGGGGGGGATGAAATTCTCCGTAAAGTCTTCGGCGACCGGAGGAGCTGCTATAAACGACGGCAAACGTGTGGGAAACGGAGCTTTCCCCTTCTCCATCGCTGTCTTTTTCCAGGCGGGATGAGGCTCTCCCAGCCCCAGGGCGGCACCAGTTCCCCAATCCCCCCACCCCCCGGCAGGATTTGACCCCCTTGTGTGCTGTTCACATCAAGCCGGGGCTAGAGGTTGCCTAATCTCCCTCTTGTGAGCTCCATCCTTATTTTTTTTTGTCCCCCATCTCCAGTGCCGGCGCGATGCAGCCGCCCCAAGGACGTGCCCAACGCGCGCATCGACGTGGACACCACGCTGCTCCACGCCTACCTGCGCTACACCTGCAACCCGGGCTACAAGCGCAAAGCCGGTACCTCCAGCCTCATCCAGTGCATCCTCCGTGAGGGCTCCACCGAGCCCGACTGGACCGATACCACGCTGCAATGCATCCGTAAGGCCTCGCCCGGCAGCCGGGACGCGATGGGGACCGGGGACGGGATTACTCCGTCACCGGTGTGGTGGAGGAGGACGCGGGGCGGCACGGGCGCTGCCGTTGATGGTGTCTCCGGGTTGTGTCTTCCCGAAGGGGACCCGGCTCTACCTCCGCAAACCCCCAGCCCCGAGCTCCCGACCGAGAGGATGACCCAGACGGGTGAGGAAGGGGCGAAGGCAGCCCACGGGGGTGGGGTTTGGGTCGCCGTGACCAAACCCACAACCAGCGTGGTGTGGAAAGCAAATTATTTCAGTTGCCTGATCGAATTAATTCAGCTGCATGAAATCATGCCGTGTCACGGCCGCCGGGTGGGCTGTACGGACCCTGCAGCCTCCTGCCTGCAGCGGGCACGAGGCTGAGCACCGAAGCGTGGAGCGTGCCTGACCACGGCCTTAAAATAAAAGCTTTTACATCATTTCCCCCAGCAGGAACCACCGACACCAGCCCGACCTCCAGCCCCTCTCCAGCAGCAACGCCCAGGCTACCGGGAGCTGCCAGCCGGTCACCCGTGCCACCAGCGACTGATGGGCCACCACCAGAGATGTCCACGCCACCAGAGATGCCCCCACCGCTGCAGACAGCCACACCGGGAGAGGGGACATCTCTGGGGACAACCCCACTGCCCACCGACCCCACGGACCACGCTGCAGGTCAGGCCCCCTCGCCGGGGGAGATAACCCACCAACACGTTGCTGGTTTCAACCAGCAAAGGCTCCTTTACTTTTTCAATGAATTTTTCCCTTCTTTCCAATCCCCATTTTAGCAAGGTTCCCCCCAGCACCCCCTCCTTCCCCTCCTGGCTTTGCAGCTAAAAAAAAAATCTCCATTTCTCTCTTCTTTTCCAGTTTCCATCCAGACCCTGGCCTCTTCCATTGGTAAGCTGGGCATAAAGTTTATTTTGGCAAGCAGGGGCTTATTTTCTTTATTTTTTAGCTTAAAACCCCTCCTTGGGGCTGTGGGAGGTGGTTGAGGGCAACATCTCCAAGGGGGGGGAAGGATGCAGCACCCAAATTTCTTCCCGGGGTGGGGAGGGCACCTCGTGGATGTGCACAGGGCCCGTTCGGCTCTTTGCGGAGCTGGTTGGTTTGAGCCGGGCCACGCGTTGGAAGATGCTCATCAGCCACCACGTCCTCTCCCGCAGGGCTCCCGGTGCTGGTGGTTACTGGTGTCGTGGCCTGCTGCTGCTGGAGGATGAAAAGGTAAGTGGGCCGAGCCCCGCGAGGTCTTTCCACCCCGGTGATGAGTTGTCCTCGGCCTCTGCGCTTCCCTGAAAGCCGGGGAAAGCCCTTTGGGTGCCGGCGACGCTCCTCTCCTCCCCC